CCCGAGTTCTGCGTAAAAATTAGTTATCTTCCACTTTCTCTGCTTTAATCACTATTTCCAAAACACCATGCATCACTTTTATCGTGGTAGGTGAATGTAGATCTCTACCTGTCTAAAGCTGGCCATACACTGTATGAATTTCATCTGGTTTTGAATGAATTGGCTGAAATTCCCACAAAGTGGGTTCCACTGTTGACACCCTTAGATCAGAAAATTGAAGGAGCCAGATGGCAAAATCTTTGGGAAACAGTCACAGCCGCCAATTAGCTGCCATCACTGTTCGAGTAGTCTGACAGCGGCACAGTGCACAAAGCAAGGTCCTTAAAGACATGGATGAGCGAGTTTTGGGTGGAGGAACTTGACTGGCCTGCACGGAGTCCTGACCTCAACTCGATGGAACACCTTTGGATGAATAAAAGCGGAGTCTGTGAGCCCGGCCTTCTCGTCCAACATCAGTACCTGACCTCACAAATGCGCTTGTGGAAGAATGGTCAAACATTCTCATAGACACACTTCTAAACCTTGTGAACGCCTTCCCAGAAGAGTTGAAGCTGTTATAGCGGCAAAGGTCGGGCCAACTCAAAATGGAACCCTACGGATTAAGACTGGGATGCCATTAGAGTTCATGTGTGTGTAAAGGCAGGCGTCCCAATACTTTTGGTAATATAGTGTATCTTTCAACATTGATGGTGCCATTCCAGATGTGCAAGCTGCCCATTCCATATGCACTAATGCTCCCCCATACCATCAGAGATGCAGGTTTGTCGAACTCAGCGCTGATAACAAGCCGCTTAGTCTGGAGGACATGGCGCCCATGGTTGCCAAAAAGAATGTGAAATTTCAATAAGTCTGACCACAGAACAGTTTTCCACTTTGCAACGGACCATCTTAAATGATCTTTGGCCCAGAGAAGATGGTGGCGTATCTTGATCTTGTTCAGATGTGGCTTCCTCTTTGAATGATAGAGCTTTAACTTGCGTTTCTGGATGGCGTGGCAAACAGTGTTCACAGACAGTGATTCTTGGAAGTATTTCTGAGCCCATTTAGTGATGTCCATCACATAATCATACCTGTTTTAATGCAGGGCCATCTAAGGGCCGGAAGATCACGGGCATCCAATATTGTGTTTCAGCCTTCTCCCTTGTGCACAGAGATTTATCCAGAATATCCAGAGTATTTTGATGATATTATGTACTGTACATGATGATATATTTAAAGTCTTTGCAATTTTTCTTTGAGGAACATTAGTCTGAAATTGTTAGACAATTTTTAGTCGCACACACGTGAACCTCTGTCCATCTTTCCTTTTGAGACACTCTGACTCTATAAGATGCTCTTTTCATACCCTATCATGTTACTGACCTGTTGCCAATTAACCTAATTAGTTGCAAAATGTTCTTCCAGCTCTGAAGTATTGCTTCATCAATTTCAAAGTTACCTTATTTTTTCCCTAAAATAGTTAATTTTTTCAGTTTAAACATTTGATATATTTTCTATTGTGAATAAAACATGGGTCTAGGAGATTTGCAAATCATTGCGTTCTGGTTTTATGTAGATTTTACACAGCATCCCAACTTTTTTGGAATTGGAGTTGTAGATAAAAATTATCTTTGCAGATGAGACATTACGGTATTCATTTCTCCTGTCCATTATTCTTGTTCTTTACGTAAGCCATTTCCTACAGAATAATTTACCGTAAAAACAAAAAGCTTTGGTTCACAGAGTTATCTAAATGCTAATGGAAAGATGTTCCCAGGATCTGCCCATGCCATAAGTCAGTCAAACTTGATATGTGGGTTTTATAATTGAACCTACTTTGATTTTTGTCTATTCACCCATTTGTGCCAGTCTAATTACTTAAGGTTTCCAAAAGGAAATCAAATTGTTCTTTCCCATCTTGTAGTGCATGGAACTAGTAATTAGTATAAAAACTATACCTTGCAGCTGTCATTCAATATTATTCATCATTCTACCTATAGATAGTTAACATACAACAGGCATGTCATTTTAGCAAACTTTAGCAGATGTTTCACTGTTAAAGGAAACATGTAGTCTTAGCGCAGGGGACACCTGACATCAGAGGACCTACTGACCATGCCTACTTTTGACCACACCCATAAAACCACCCCCCATTTGTAGTCACACCTACAAAATCACAACAACATTTTTAGCATGCCCTGAAACAATTGGTCAGAGACTTCTGGAAGAAAAAAAGACATTAAAAATGTTAAGTCCCCTGGGCACTACAAGCAGTGAAATAATGTGGTGTGCATAGCAAATCATGCGCTTGGCCAAAATGGGTTAACAGTGGGAGCGGCTAAAGATCCACATTTTAATATACCCTGAGTCTACACTACTATGAGTCAAGAATATGTAATACACATGTTTTGTGCAGGGGACCAAAGTGTGTAACTCATGGAGTGCTGTGGTCACGAGTGTGTAACACATGGACTTCAGGGGTCAAGAGTGCGTAATGCAGAACACAGGGTTGGTCAAGAGTATATGGCGCAGAGAGCAGGAATCAGGAGTATGTAGCGCAAAGAGTTCAAGGGTCAGGAGTAGATAACACATTGAATAAATAGGTCAGGAGCAAGTAACATGTGGATTAAAGGGGACATGAGAAAATAATGCATGGAGTACAGGGGTCAATGGTAGGTAGTGCATGGAGAACAGCGTTCATCAGTAAGTAATGCATGAAGTACAGGGATCATAAGTAGATAATGCATGGAGTACAGGGGTCATCAGTTGGTAACGCATGGAGTACAGGGGTCAAGAGTAGGTAACACATGGAGTACAGGGGTAAGGAGTAGGTAATGCATGAAGCACAGGAGTCAGCAGTGTATTATACATGGAGTACAGGGGCAGGAGTACATGATACATGGAAAACAAGGGCACAAGTGTGTAGAACAGCATGTAGGGGTCAGGAATAAGTAGTATAGAGGCCAGCATACACAGCAGAACCAAAAACTACCCCTTCTAGCCAGTACAATTCCACCTCCCAGTACAGATCTCTCCCCCAAATCACCTTCAGTACAGAACTCACCCCCAGTACAGATCTCTTCCCCAAAACATGCTACCTCCCTACAGACCTCCTTCCCCCAATACAGACTTCTCCCCCAAAAGAACTGACCTCCCCTCTCTTCCTCGGTAAAGACCCTAGACCTCCTAAAGAAAACTTACCAGACCTCAGACAAAGTGGCAGGAGATGTCTTCCTCTCCCCGTGTTATGTGACACTCACATCAGAGCTGAGGAGGAGCTATGAGGAGCTCTCCTGGGCTCTGCATATAGAGGGACTTACAAAGATAAATTACAAATTTAAAAAGGGTTGTCATGACGGTGGGACCCGAGCCATCCCAGCGCTGTGCCCACCCTTGACAACCAGGCAGCTGGGGGCATTGGCGGGGACGCTCGTTTCCTGGGGAGAGACCCCTCAAAATGGGGGCTGTCCCCGGCAAATGGGGACTAATGGTAACAATAAAGTAGGATCTGCAGCAGGGGTGAACCTGTGTCAGATATATGTGAACACAGCCAAAAACTGCACAGAATTCACATGACTGAACTGAACATGAGTCAGCATCTCAGTCTAAGAATTAGATGCCAACCCTGAATAGTGTCTGCACAAAGATGATACTTTTCTTCTGGAAAATAAAAGCATATTGTCAGGAGGGAGTACTGTGATGTCTGTGAGAGTAAATAAATACCTGTAAGTGTTACATTATTAGAATCACTACACTTAAGATTAAGAAATATATCTAATGCTAGGGCCACTTAGAGTGGAGGCATAGAGGAATTTTTAGTTTCTTTTGACCTCTGTGATATAATCTGACTGGGTATCTTGTTTTATTTATTCTAAAAAATAGTGATTTACAATTTTTCTAAACCGCATTAATTTGAAACTTTACATAAATGTGTCTTACATGTAAAGTTCATTGTATGGTAGTTTATTTGTATACAAAGCTTTCAAAAGTGCTACACTCCCAGCTTTCTATACGATACACACCCTAAATAATTGCAAGCAAAGGAAACTCCATGAATCAACTCCCACACTGCAGGAGTGTATGCTATGGGAAACACAAACTTCCTGTAATCACAAAGCATACCTGTCACTTGTTCACTTGAGCTGCTGTTTCATGCTTGGTATAAAAAGCAACTCTGGTATAAAACTTCATGTTATATTTTTATGTGAGGCCAAGGTTTGCTAAGCCCAGTAGAGCATTTACATTTATAAATTAAAAACAACTTTTTTTTTGCAAAACCACAGTTTATTATATATGAAAAATTAATGGTAGTTATTAAACCACAATTGAATGTATTCCTTTAATCCTTTAAAATATTTAAATATATTGTACACACACCTAGCATGTTTTCTACTGCTTGTTCAGAATATGTAAATACTTTAGTGTGCACAGTCTGGGCACAGGTTTACTTTAAGCCATTCTTTTGAAGAAAACAAGATAACACTATGGAGTGTATTTATAAACAATTTACCGAGTTTATTTATAAACAATTCATACTGCAGAAATCTGTGAACATTTGTTCTGTGCGCTATGGAGCAAAAGCGAACGTTTTAGTATGCTTTCTTTTCAAATCGAATTAAATATAAGAAAAATACCACATTAATATAAAATGAAGGTTCAAAGTAAAATGCCTGCACTTTAGTGTAGGTGAAAGCTTATTTGCCCTTCAATATAAATGAAGAATGGATTTCATGGCACCCAGTGCTTCCGGGAGAAACAGATGACACATAACTACTGCATCCTGGGATAGCTGGGCACTCAAAATCCAGATAGCACGTACCCTTGCAATGTGCTTAAAGTGTATTTCCAATATTGCAGTAAAAAAAAAAAGCCTATACGAAACATAAACCCTGAGATCTTGAAACCTTTGTTAAGACAGCCAGTATTCAAATCTAGTTTACAAACAAACCTTTAGTAAATCACTTCAGAGGCTTCAGTTCCTTGGGTTTATTAATACTAACTTACTGTGTTTTTTATTGTAGGTATTCCAAAGTTGATCACGGCAGACATGATTAAGGAAGGGGCTGCTATAATTGATGTTGGCATTAATCATATAGAAGATCCCGCTACAGGAAAAACAATAATGGTTGGAGATGTGGATTTGGAAGGTAATCGTTAAAATCTATGCAGAATAGATTTTATGTAGGATTTATTTACCATTGCACATTGAACATACAGAAATCTGATCATCTATTTGGGTCTGCGCTAATGTAAAGCTGGGGTATGTATTGCGCAGCATGGATCAACAATATTTTATAGTTAAATATTGCATATACATCCACATTACTCAATCCAAAACTTAGCTTTAAACGGTTTCCAATATTTAGATTCAAAACAGAGGTATTTCTTACATACATTTGCAAATGTATCTGCATGTGAACCCACACAGCAAAGGTGCCTTGACACGGCAATGTGTCTTGATATACAGCAATGAATAAATGGAGAACAGGCCTATCTTAGAGCAGGGGTGGGCAAACTCCAGCCCTCCAGCTGTGGCGCAATTACAAATCCCATGAGGCATTGCAAGACTCTGACAGCCACAGGCATGACTCCCAGAGGCAGATGCATGATATGATTTGTAGTTTCACCACAGCTGGAGTGCTGGTGTTTGCCCACTCTTTCTTAGAGGCAGCCCCATCCTCCTTATAATTTGTGCATGTATTTTTTTTTCAAAAAGGTAGACTTTTTCTTTGAAAAATGAAAAAATTACACGTTTTCATACATTGTATGTTGTTGCTGTATTTAATTTTTCTGGGCTGTTAGAACAGCTAACACAACACACAGTGGCTGAGATCATTCTCTGAATCAACTTACTCTCCTACATTTTTATCTTCTGTATCCCTATACACTTATAGACCGCAATCCCATCCCTGCCTAGTCTGTTAGCTGATGTGTATGTGCTGTTAATTAACGATACAGAAACCAGACCTGAGCAGGAACTAACAATAGAATATGCCAAAGGAAAATTAATCGATGAATATGACAGAAGGAAAGAAAATATGCACAATGAAGAAAACGAGAAAGCCCTTAGGGTGCATGAGAGCACAAAGCAAACCAACAAAAGCAAAAAAAGATTGTCAGTTGAAAAAGGACTGTTCAGTCTGGGAAGCTGAGCAGAGAAAGTAGGAGGCACCTACAAGAGAAAGAGCTGAGGCAGCTGCAAAGGCAACAGCAGGCACATCATGGAGTGCTACCTCTAAAGTGACTCAGAACAGTATACCACGCTGATGGTGTATTGACTCAGGTGCAACGAGAAACTTGACTAATAATGAGACCTTCTTCACAGAAATTGATTTCAGTGCATAGGACAAAGTCTTCCTAGCAAACGGAAAAAGTATTACAGCATAAGGTAAAGGTCAAGGATTCTTGAACTGTATCACACCACCAGGGGACACGCAGAGTATCATAGTGAAAAATGTACTGTATGTCCCAGACTTAGAAGGAAGCCTTCTATCAGTTAAAACTCTAATAAAACGCTAATAACGGTCTCACAGTTCAATTCCAAGGTGAGGAATGTACAATCCGAAACAAAAAGCAAATCCTCGCAAAAGGAAAACTAGATGAACAGCTATACAGACTCATCACCACAGACGAACAAGTCAAGACAGACATAATCCACACAACAAATGTATTCATCTTTGGCAAAGACAACTAGGACACTGAAACCCATAAGCCATAAAAGACATTATAAAGAGAGGCTTATCAGAAGATATAACCGTACTGCCCTGCCAAATGCTCATGACATGCAAATGCTGTATGAAAGCAAAGGCCACACGCACCCCACTTCTACAGGCCTCCCAAAGAAAGACCACCCCATGGAGCTCATACAAAGTGATGTGAGCGTACCAATGAAAACTCCCACATTAGGGATATAAAAACATTTATAAAAGCCACGCTAAAGTGCAACAAAAACTTACAAAAAAATATATAGAAACTCTAAGTGAACATGCATGAAAAAGTAAATGAATCAGTGATCAAAAATCTATGGATAAAAGTGAATCAATATTCAAAATATAGTGAATAAATACAAATACATATGGGATATATACCCACATACATATGTATATAGTATACAGATGATATCAATAAATAAGTGAATAAACCATAATACAATCTAAAGTAGAAGTTCAGTGTAAAACAAGTGAAGTATCCAAAGAAAGTCCACCATAAATGTAGAAATTATGTATAAACAATATGTGCCCAAAGCGATGATAAGAGAACCTCTTCCCAGGGATAAAGTCTATAGGAATGCTGCTCACCTTGCTAAAAGACCTACAAATAGGTCTATATGGCGCCATCCCTCCTATTTAAATACGGGTGGGGGAAACACACAGTAGCTAAAGAATCTCTCTCTCTCTTGCTGCTTCTTCTTAGACAAGTACTTTGAAATGTGGCATGGATGGAAGCCTAGCCTAGGACACATCATAGTGGGTGTAAAGCTTACGCCTATATTCCAAAGGAGAAGCGATCCAAAATGGAGAACAGAGCCATTGAAGGTATTCTGGTGGGCTGTAGTGAACAAAGTAAGGGATATAGAATTCTCCACCCAAAGTGGAGACAATAAGCCGCAGTGTTTATTTTGATGCAAACCCATCACCAGAAACAGTGATCACAGGAAGTTGTGAAGTGACTCTGCCCAGTGAACCAGCAAAGAAAGCTGAGCAAAGTGAAGCCACACAGTAGTCAGAACAAGAAGTGCAACTCACAATGAATAAGTCAAATTCCAAGTTCAATTCTGCTGCACAACCTGAAATTAGAAGATCCGATTGAGCAACAAAGGGAATACCACCCTGCAAGCTGTCATATACTGCTAAGACACATAGCATACTCAAACCAACATCATGAACACTCCTTAGCATCACAGCTGGGAAGGACATGCAAGTGAAACACCTAGACATTAAAATTGCTTCCCTATATGGAGACATTAAGGAAGATCTCTACAGGGAGCAACCATCAGGGTTTTAGCAAGGACACAACCTCGTTTGTAAACTCTGCAAGAGCATCTATGGACTTAAGCAATCTGCAAGAATGTGGAATAAAATACTCATGAAAGAGGGATTTACAAGAAGCAAAGTGTAAGAGAATCCCTTCGGTTCTCTCCTGAGGACACAGACGGCCCCGCGCATGCGCAGTCCACGCTCGTATCTCCACACCCACGGCGCATGCGCAGAACCCTACTTAAGCCGCAAGCAAACGAATCTTCGGCGTCCTACTGGTGGTTACAGTGAACGCTGAAGATTCATACCCTGCAGCTGCAGACTAACCAAACGGACTACCCCACCTACTACTCACCAGCCGAGGACAAACAGCCCAATGCAACTCCGCCTGTCTCCCCAAGGATTACCCTAGAGATTGCTGCCTCACACAGGGATCTGTGAATCCTTCCCCACTGAATTACAAAAACCGCAAGTATCACCTGTCTCCTACCTGTGATTACCATTCAACAGAAAGTTATACTAATACCTGCTAATAATTGACTATTCGAGTATTGCACTGTTGTGGTTAATGTAATTCCTGTGTGAAGTGAAGTCTTTGCTGTTCCGAGAGTCTACACCAGCTGTTGTTAAGAAATATTAGCAAGTTGTTGAAGTAAGGAGGAACCATCACCTTAAGTTAACCCTAACTACACCCAGTGTTACCAGTCTAAAACGTACTGTCTAAACCCCCCTGCTGGGTTAACCAATTCCACCCCCCTATACTGTATCACACCACCAGGGGACACGCAGAGTATCATAGTGAAAAATGTACTGTATGTCCCAGACTTAGAAGGAAGCCTTCTATCAGTTAAAACTCTAATAAAACGCTAATAACGGTCTCACAGTTCAATTCCAAGGTGAGGAATGTACAATCCGAAACAAAAAGCAAATCCTCGCAAAAGGAAAACTAGATGAACAGCTATACAGACTCATCACCACAGACGAACAAGTCAAGACAGACATAATCCACACAACAAATGTATTCATCTTTGGCAAAGACAACTAGGACACTGAAACCCATAAGCCATAAAAGACATTATAAAGAGAGGCTTATCAGAAGATATAACCGTACTGCCCTGCCAAATGCTCATGACATGCAAATGCTGTATGAAAGCAAAGGCCACACGCACCCCACTTCTACAGGCCTCCCAAAGAAAGACCACCCCATGGAGCTCATACAAAGTGATGTGAGCGTACCAATGAAAACTCCCACATTAGGGATATAAAAACATTTATAAAAGCCACGCTAAAGTGCAACAAAAACTTACAAAAAAATATATAGAAACTCTAAGTGAACATGCATGAAAAAGTAAATGAATCAGTGATCAAAAATCTATGGATAAAAGTGAATCAATATTCAAAATATAGTGAATAAATACAAATACATATGGGATATATACCCACATACATATGTATATAGTATACAGATGATATCAATAAATAAGTGAATAAACCATAATACAATCTAAAGTAGAAGTTCAGTGTAAAACAAGTGAAGTATCCAAAGAAAGTCCACCATAAATGTAGAAATTATGTATAAACAATATGTGCCCAAAGCGATGATAAGAGAACCTCTTCCCAGGGATAAAGTCTATAGGAATGCTGCTCACCTTGCTAAAAGACCTACAAATAGGTCTATATGGCGCCATCCCTCCTATTTAAATACGGGTGGGGGAAACACACAGTAGCTAAAGAATCTCTCTCTCTCTTGCTGCTTCTTCTTAGACAAGTACTTTGAAATGTGGCATGGATGGAAGCCTAGCCTAGGACACATCATAGTGGGTGTAAAGCTTACGCCTATATTCCAAAGGAGAAGCGATCCAAAATGGAGAACAGAGCCATTGAAGGTATTCTGGTGGGCTGTAGTGAACAAAGTAAGGGATATAGAATTCTCCACCCAAAGTGGAGACAATAAGCCGCAGTGTTTATTTTGATGCAAACCCATCACCAGAAACAGTGATCACAGGAAGTTGTGAAGTGACTCTGCCCAGTGAACCAGCAAAGAAAGCTGAGCAAAGTGAAGCCACACAGTAGTCAGAACAAGAAGTGCAACTCACAATGAATAAGTCAAATTCCAAGTTCAATTCTGCTGCACAACCTGAAATTAGAAGATCCGATTGAGCAACAAAGGG